AGATAGGGGATGTACTCCACGGTTTAGGGGAAGATAGGGGATGGACCTCTAAACCGGATGTTGTTTGGGAGGAGATAGGGGATGGACTCCATGGATAGAGCTCATATGCTTATCTATTAATGTGTTGACAGAGCTCATATGCTTGTCTTTGGAAGTGTGATAGTGCTCTTATGCATATCTATGGAAGTATTGATATGGCTTGTATGCTTATATGTTGGTGTGTGATATAGCTAGTATGCTTATCTATTATGAAATGGGAAAGTGCTTAATATGAGTTACTGTCTCATATGAGTTGTTTGGCTAGGTTCTGAGCCATGGTTATAAATTGAGAATTGAAAGGAATTGGAAAATGGATTGTAACATGGACCTGTATGTCATGAAACTGTAAAATGTGATAAAGGAAAGTATCAGTGTTGGCCATCTATCAACTGCTAATCTTTTAGTCGTTGTTCATATTTGGTTTAGTGTATTTCTACTGGGCTGTGGCTCACCCTATATGGGAACATCACTTTCAGGTACAGGTAGCATGCCACCTCCAAGGACATAGCTTGAGAGGCTAGAGGCGGGCATACTCTTGTTGTCTTATTTCTTTTGATGTATTACATGTAAATTCAAGACAAGGGCTTAATATGTAATTGAGTTAGTACTCTTTTTTTTTGTAACCAAGTGTTAACTTGGAAAGCTGTAAGCCCGTAGGGCATTTGCTTTTGTCGTTAACATGTAATACTTTTTGGTAATGGAACTCTGATGAATAGAAGAATGTGGAGCTTTTATATATCAATGCATGTCTATATTGATAGGTTTAATGTTACTATTTTGAGGGCGTTACAATAAGAGAGTGAAGGACTTGTTGCAGAGAATGAAATAATGGGGACATGAGCTTCTTCTCCAAGATGAATTAGAAAATTTGCTTGCATGGATGTCAATGGCCCAACGATGGCCTTCACTTGTTCTGTTTTCAGTAGTTCCACAGCTACATTTACACGTACAAGAATGAAATGATATTATTAAGATTAACTCTATATGTTGTTTAGACACATTTCTCTAAATTTTGAAGTTGTGACTTGGGGTGCTTACAAAGGGGAGATTTGAGGTTCAAAACTCCATGAACTACTTTGAGGTTCAAAATTCCATGAACTTGCCTCAACTCATCTCTAACCATTGCCATGTTCTTGGCAAGGAAGATAGGAGAGATTGAGGCCCAAAACCTTTTAGGTTTCTTAACTGTTGGCTGTTGCACCCACAGTTTCTGACTTTTGCTGAAAAATCATGGAAAGAAGCACTAATTGAAGCTTGGGCTGGCAACAGACTTTTCAGTAAGTTAAATCGCTTAAAAAAAGTTTTGAAGGCTTGGAATATGGAGGTGCTTTGGGAATCTTGCTAACCAACTAAAAGTTGTGGAAGAAGATTTGCATCTTCTTGATCTTAAAGCAGAGGAAGGCTCATTAGAAGATGATGATAGGTCTAGAAGGTCCATCCTCAAAGGAGATTTGTGGAAATTAAGCAAAAAACTGGAGTGGCTTTGGCTTCAAAAATCTAGCAAGATTGGGCTTTGAAAGGCGATCGAAGATAGATTTTTTCACATTATGGCCTAGTCTAGACAATACTTGAACTTAATCAATTCTGTCTCAGTTGGAGGTGTTGCAGATGATCCAGCCATCATAAGACATGAAGTGTGGAGCCATTTTAAGGCAGCCTTTTCAGAGTGAAGGAAAATATGCAGGTAATCATATTACTTGAAGTGGAAATAATTTAGATTGGATGCTTGAATTACGACTGAAAAACTCTTCATCGTCAATTGAGAAGCTATACCTGAAGTAGAAATAATTTTAGATTGGATGCTTGAATTATGAGTCTCGTCCGAAAAACTCTTTGCCTTCAATTGAGAAGCTACTAGAGTTTATCAATGTATTATCCATACTCCAAATCCCTAGGTACCTAAGAGGGAAGAACAAAGAGAGAAATTCTGCAGAGATTTTTTGAGTAAAGCTCCCACAACAATACTACATATATTATTTTCTTTATATCAAATGTATAGAGATTCTCTACTGATAGAAGTGGAGTTATAATCTCTCACAATAACTCAAACACCTTCTAAAGATAATCCCTCTAATTATCTTATTTAAATATGGGAATTATCAATAACCCATGCAGAAGTTTCACAGGTAATGGATCGGGTCAAATCTGGCCCAATTATCAATAACCCATCTGGTTGTTGTGGCTTTTTCTAGGCAGGAGGTGATCTTTGTAATGGTTGTCATGGTTGAATTCTCTTTAACCGTAGGAATTGTGCTGCAGATGATTGTACAGTATCTTTAGTGCCAACTTAGCTGGAATCATAGATTTTTGCTTTGATATTTATAGCATGATTCCGTTTGTTCTGCTTTTCCATTTATTGATGTATGATGCAAGTCTTCATTTTGATTCCTATTCAATACAAGTTTCTTTTACTGATAAAAAAATTAATTTTTGCCGATCTAATAATAATAATTTTAATAATTTAAGGTTCATTCTCCCTAGTTGGAATCTCCAACAGCTTTTAGTAAATTTACCTCCGAATCTATTTTATGATCTTCATTATTCATCTTATAAGGTTATTCAAAAAGATCATCTATTTGAAAAATAATAAGTAAACAAATAAAATTGAATTAATTGAACAACTATAGTCATATGATTGAAAATCGCATTTGTCATAAAAATATTGCAAAATTTATTTTGCAAAATTTATTTGATAAAATCATGCCATTCATTTTATAAAAGTAAAATTTATTTGATGATGGAATTACAAAAATATTGCAAAATGGAAGAAAACTCCAGAGAGAGTCAACTAGTACCCTCCAGTTACAGGGATAGAATTCTCCACAATAATCTTTCTTGTAACAATCTTTCAATATTAGTCTAAGTAGGTAATTTAAGTTAAAAACATAATTAATTATGATTTAAGTAGATGATTTAAGCTTAAAACACAACCATTCTTGATCATGCAAAATTATTGCAAGAAAGTAGTATAGAGAATCCTACTCCCTAGTTGAATTAGCAACATGAAAGAATTCTTCCCTATAATTTATTGTGAATTTGCCAAGGAAGAAGACGCGTGGGGCATTGTTAAGTTGTCTGCATTGGATGATGGACCAAGATAGCCCCTTTTATGTTTGGTCATTTTCTCATGTAAAGTTTATTTTTTATTTTTAATTTGCTCCTAAACTAAAGTGTTTTTAAAATTAGACAAAAAATATCACAATAACTATCACATAATATAAAAAATATATTATTATATTAGAGTTTAAATTTATGTCAATAGTGTGAATATATATAATAAAATATTTTTATATCACGTGATTGTGTTATTTTTTGTCAAATTTCTAACATAGCCTTATTCACAAAAATCTATGCACTCACAAAAAGAAAATTTAAAAAAAAAATCTTGTGAGATAATTTTCTGTTTTTATTTTTTCTATTTTTTCTTGGATTTATAAAAATATTGTATTAATTAGTCTTATTATTTATTACATTCCAATATGTCAAACAAGCCTTGTATATATCGTATTAGCTATTTCTGATGAATGTGTGACCTCTATGAGAGTTACCTATTGTCTTAGTTACATTACATCGCTGTCTTGAAACTTCAATCACTTTGATTTGTTTGGTTAAATTTTAAATATATAAAAAAAATACTTAAATAAAACGACCTTGACTTTCAATTAGACGGATTTAAAAAGAAAGATTGTGTTTTGTTAAGTTTTCAAATGGATTTTTTAGAGCTCAAAATTGAAAATTTGTTCAGTTTATAATTTTTTAAAATTATTTTCAATTACTTCTTCTATCTTTTCTCTCATTCTTTTACATCCTACATTAATCAATAATTTTTTTCTCTCCTCTCTCTCATTGTCTCATATCTTACACATCAATCAATAATCTTTTCTCTCACACCCATTTATTAAACTATAATTCATCCCAAATTAATGAACTCCACCTACAAAACGATTTTCAAAATATAAAACCAACAAATTTTTGAATTTTGAAAACTTTTTTCAAAAACTAATCTTTCACAATTGATTTCAAAATCAAACGCTAAATTTTTTTACTCAAAATTAAAATAAAATCATTTAAAATGAAAAAAAAAATGAGGGAAGGTTACCCAAAAGCTGATAAAAATGTCATATAAAATGGCTTATTTTAAGCATTAAAAAAAATAATAATGTGTATCAAAGGTTATTAAAATCGAGACCTTACATTGAATCGTTGGAAGAGTTTATAGGATCAGAACGAGGATCGTAAGATCCTACCGAAAATGGCAAATTACAAAATAATTTAATTTAAATAAACATATCTTTAAAATACATGCAAAATAAGCCTAATTTATACTAAAAAGAAGTGAAGATATTGTGAAAAATATAATATTTCATGTAAAATGTAAATGTAATATTATACAATAGAAAACTCAATGATAAAAGTTTTACATTTTATTTATAAAAAAAAAAAGGTGAAGAATTTTATAACAGGACACTTTGCAAAATAATGCATAAAAAGTTTTTTTTAAAAAAAATATTTAACAAAATTGGATATATGAAAATAGCTTGAGAACTCAAAAGAGTGGTTTAATTGAATGGTAAGGTCTGTTATTAGCGTCTCTGGGGGAGTAGATCACAAAAAAGCCTCTCCGAAAATTTTAATGAAATTGCACATATCTTACCCTCCTTAGACTTCATTAAAGTTAAGTTTGTTTTTCTGATTAGTTTGTTTTCTTAAATTACTACAAATTTTAAATTTTTATTTTCCTAATTTGCTTTTCTTAGTAGATTTGATTCAATATTACCTTTTTATTTATTTATTCATTTGGACCACATAAATTGGTATTTAGGTAACGAACATAAAAACTTACAATAAAATAGATCATATAATGGAAAATAAAGCTTATAAATTGGATCAGATATGATCAGATTCTGGTTGGGATTCTATGATTCTATAAGATCCAATTATTAGGATTAAAAGATCCTACTTGTAAATGATTTTTTACACGATTCGGATCAATTGTGCCCAAATAGATCGTAAAATCGTAGGATCGTAAGATCTAGGTCGAGATTTTAACAACCATTATCAACTAACTCATCATAAGTGTATGAACTAATTGAAAAGAAAAAATAAATTAAATATAACTTGCATTTTATTTTTTTCTTGCATAAATTCAATATCTAAACATGTTTTAAGTAGAGATGGTTCAATCATTAAGTCACTTTACTTATTACCTAAAAACAAATTTAAAAATTCTTACTGTTGAAGGCTCTATTTTTTGAAAAGCCTATTAAAATAGAGGCTCATTTTGTTGTTGTTCTCGTCGTCATCATCTTTTCTTTCTTTATTTTTTTAAATTTAATTTAACTTTATTTTATCAGAAAAACAGATTATATTAATATAAAATAAGCATACAACATAAAGGCTATGAAAATTGTCAAAACCTTGCATCCTGATTATTGACACCGGACGCAAGATCAATCATATGCACACCCACAGCAGGTTCCAATACAAATAGCAGCAACAAAACAGAGAGCAACTTAGCAAGACTACACCAAGTCAGCCCACAACATACTAGCGCTAACTATCCCTCAGCCCCCATTCCTAATACAGTATTGAACTTGCTGCAGGTTGAAGATTATCTTGGGAGGCTACTAGGATTAAGAGTACTTAATTATTGATTATACATATATAACTATATATAAATTATATTTGAGAGAGAGAGAGAGAGACCTGTTGCAGCTGCACCAACAACATTATCCTTAGAATCCCTGACGTGGAGCTCCAGTCTGGTTTTGTAATGAACATGAGATGAATACAAGTCAGAGAGTATAATGATCCCGGTTGTCCCTTTACTGTTCTGTTGTATTCCGGACTCGGTTCCGTGAAGTTGGTAGTGGTATCTATCTTGTTGCCATCCTTTAATTTCACTTGATTGAGTTTTAGGATGTTTCGAGCAGGGTTGTTATAGGTTGGTTAGGCCTTGGTTTCAATTCCTTGTTGTCCAGTTTTTAGGCGATCCGCTCGAGCGGGTCTTCTTGCGCTCGAGCGGGGATTGCACACCTCCAGTATTCCGTGTTCCTGTAAAACTTCTGCAGATGTGATTTTTACGCTCGAGCGGGTTTGTTTACGCTCGAGCGGTAGCGCTCGAGCGGGTTTGGTGGCGCTCGAGCGGGTGGTACCTTCTGGGTATAAGTTCTGGGAGGGGGAAATCTACGCTCGAGGGGACTGGTTTTCGCGCTTGAGCGGAAGTGCTTTATTCTGTCTTGGCGCTCGAGCGGGCCTTATTGCGCTCGAGCGTGTCCAGATTTTTGTTCTTGGCGCTCAAGCGTTGTGTTCTCCGCTCGAGCGGGTCATACATATATGAGTTATCCGATGGGTGATTTTAAATCACTTTTTGCTTTTCTTTCTCTCTCCTACTTTTTCTAAAACCCATTTTTGAGAGCCGCTCTCTCTAGAAACTCCCTTCTCTCTAGGGTTTGATCTAGTTAGAGTGTCCTCCTTCTCTTCGGCCTTTGTAAAAGTTGTGTTGATCGTCGAGGGCGTCGTTTTGATCTGAAAATCTTGGTTTTTGGAGCACTTTGGTTTTGATCTCTTCTCCATCCGAGCTCTAACTTCGAGGTAGGGATATCCTACTCCTCTTTATGAGCTTCTTATGAGGCATTT